ATACTAGACATGACTGGACTGGATGACGGCTGGCCTGTTATAGGAGTGAGTCCCAGGTGTTCCGATACTCTGGTGTGTAAATGGCGCATGGTTTGACCCACATACGACGCGGAACAGCATCGACACTTAAATAAGTATACAACACCAGATCTCAGGAACGTAGGAACTTTATCCTTGAAAGGAAAGAAAGAAGAGATGCGTTTAGAGGAGCGAAAGACAAATCGAATGTTGAGATGAGGATAAGCAGCATTGCAAAGTCGGTTGATTTGAGTGCGAATTTGAAGAGAGTGTGAACCTGTGAAGGGAAGGCAAAAATAGACAACCTTTTTAGGAACCGTGTGAATAGGAGGTTTGGATTCGTAGATCTTGTTAAGGAAACGATGAACAAGACGGTCAAACATGTGGAAGGGGAAACCATTCAAGTTAAACAGTTTCCTAATAACTTCAAGCTGAGTATGAAAGTTTTTATAGCTAGAACAGAGGTTGAAAATTCTGTAAAGTATAGGCAAGAGATTAAAGAGCCTTTGTGTGCAAGAGGAATGAAGCTGTGGAAGTTAGTGAAAATATTATCCTTAGTAACATAACACCTTGTAAATAGATTATAATTAGCTCACATCTCGTGTAATTTTATCTAATCTGAAGATGTCTTAAGTTAAAGACGAAACGTTACAATTAAAATTCTTTACAGTGTGAATTGGTACATTATATCATTTTTAAAATCAAATTCCATATAAGTGCTCGTTTCAAATGCACAAAGCAGATGAACTGGCAGTAAATATTACGTTCTTACTTTATATCAATACGACAGGCTTCACAAATGAAGTTTGTATTCCCCATTATATTGTATTATAAAAATACACAATCACAGGGCCGTACGCAGGATTTTTTCACCAGGGGGGCAGTAAGGGCTATATGCCAAAAAAGTCCCAAATATCCAAAGAATAATTAATAATGACACTCTAAAAATCGTAAATATAGTTTCCTCTGGGGGGCAGTCGCCCCCCTTGCCCCCGCTGTGTACGGCCCTGCACAATCATCAGTCGAGTCTGTTCACATGCATTTCGTGAGCTAAAATATCTTAGCAGAAGTCAGAAATTATATCAAAATCACATTGGGCTTACACACTCGTTGATTTCCATATTCATAACTTCGGTAATCTCGACAGAATTAGTAAAAAGTGGGTTTAGACACGCGGAAAGCTCGCAAGTAAAGACAATACAAGGCCAAGACACAGAGGAAGTACATACAGAGATCTCACTTCAGGTTAATTTCGCGTAAGGGAATTTTTCAGTCCGCCATGTTCTTAGCAAGTGCCCTAAAGAGAGGCGGTCACCCCCCTGAAAACATATTGAAAATTTAATATTCCAGGGGGGTGAATGTCTCTCTTTAGGGCACTTGCTAAGAACATGGCCGCCAGCTATTTCGGTAAAAAAGCGCCTTACGGTTTTGTAATGGATGTTACACTTCTGTATGTCTTTATTCTGTGGCCAATTCCTGCCATTTCGAGAGAGCAGGACTTCGCATTTGTAAACAGTCGGTTTGAGCATGCGCAGACCTAATTATCCAATCAGAAACCAAGATTTCTTGTATGAATTTACTATGAAATATATTAGCAAGTCCTGACATTTGAAAATGGCAGGACTGAAATACGAGTCGCGTGTATCAATGTAGAGTTGCAGTTGCTAGGTAACAGACACAGCAAGCTGTAAAATTTCGTAAATATAACAGAATGCGAAAAACTTTTTAAAAAATAATAACGAAAAAGACGAGAAAATGAGACAAAATAACAATATGATAATTACCCAGGGTCTTTCCTCTTGGAGGGGGAAGAAAAGACCCTGGTAGACACTGGTCACAGATTTTAATTAGCAATCCAAAATAAGGTCAATAAATATTTGTTATTTGGATAATTTTTATTGTTTAATTTATAATTTGCTTTTTTGTATGATTGGCGTAATAATGGAATCCAAAATAGTTATTTAAAAACCTGCTAGATTTTAGCAGATCACGTGTCCAGCATCTACCAGTGTCTTTTCTCGACAAGAGGAAAGACCGTGGGTACAATGTTGCGCTATGGATAGGCGAAAAGCTATGAGCAAGTTTACTTCAACTTTTAATTTAGTTTTAATATTTACGACGACGCGTGGTAAAAGCATGCCTCAAACCTATATGGGAATAACGTGAGCTGAATTGATATTACCGAACAATATGCAGCATTTAATTCATTCGTCAATTTTTATATACAAAATGCCATTGCATTGGCGCGAAACACGAAAAATCTTGCATCGTGAGATTTCATAATCAGGCGGCCCGATATATGGAACTTGAATATCCTCGAATTCTTACAAGTCCTTCCAACTAGTACTTGTTGTATTCGTTAATTCGCTGGAAGCGAAACAAAGTCTGCCGAAGTATTTAATTATCACTTATTTACTAAGACCGAGGGAAACAGTGTATTTTGTGCAGGGGCGGATCTAGGATTTTTCGTACGTTAGTCAAAAATTTCGTTGCTGAACATTGGGGGAGGGGGGTACTTTTGACTGGCGGAGGGGTACTTTTGACGGGGTGTCGGAGGGGGGGGGGGTTGCCAAGCAAATTAATATTTTTATATGTGTTCTGTTTACGAAAAAATGTAACTTAAAAAATTGCTTTTTCGCCGAATGTCAAACAGATATCCAATTCTCATCGAGAAATAGATTGACAAGGATGACTTGACGTTTTAAAAATTGTTATTTAATCGCATATTTTTTCCTTTGACATGGATGGTAAAAAAAAAATGCAATATAGTGATGCAGTTTAAACATTTGATTGATTAAGCAGGAAGAGAATTTCCACGTTTAATTCACTGCTCCTCGAGTTTCATTCGTAGCAGAAACATGCGCCATAAATAAGTATTCACAATGGCAACATGATCCATTTTACTTGTTGTGTACATGTTGTAGAGATCGTATTACACAAGGCCATGCTACATTGTCGTGTTCTTGTAGTTTAAAATATTAAATAGGTATAAACAGTGTTATTAAGTAGCGATCTGATTAATATATAAAGTCTACATGTCACAAGAAGCATAAACAAAGTATAAACACACTGAAACTGCCTGTATTAAGCCGCAATATTTATATAAATTGACGGAAATATTATGTAAATTTCGTCTCGTATTATTATACGTCTTATACGCGTACCCGCCGATATTATAGCATGCATGTGCGTACAGACGCACAATCCACCACAGTATACAACAGTTATAATGCTATATCTAGTTAAAATAGAATATATATATCTTAAGTTAAGGCCGTACAAAAGATTTTTGTCTTCTCTCGAACGTACTTCAGGATGTAAGATTCCGCACCAAAATTTCGTGCGAGGAAGGCTGCTTATGTTATTCACAACGCTCAATAAATCTTTAATAGAAAACTTCGGTACACCGTTATCGCTTGTTTAAATCAGCTTCAATATCTTTGACATTTTGTCGATCGTCATTCTCTAAAGCAGCCTTTACAGTTTCGTAAATACTAACAGACATGGCTGGTATTAGTTCAGAATTTCTGATAGTAAATCTTCCCATTGAACTTTAATAATTTGCGGTCAAGCACAAAGTAGCGATCAGAAAGGGCCAGAAACGTCATAGACCTTTCCGTGCACTAATGAAGCCTGAACGGTATGATCGATCAAAAAAATCCAGCCAATGGGAATTCAGGATTGTTTTGAATTAGCCAATCGGATAGCCTGTATTCGAGCCCCTGATCGCTTTAGCGATCAGAACTCCCCACAGATCGCGCAAAAATCGAGATAGCCAATCAGATGGCTGGAATCTGACTCAGAGCGTGCAAAACTCATGCGTAAGACCGCTTTTCTGCGCGTTCATGTTCGAAGGCCTTGCTACTGAATGATATTTCAAAACTGGACTGTTAAACTTTCAATACATTACACTGCGCGAAGTTTGATAACTGGACTGCTATTTTAATTTAACAATTTTCCATTTTTCTGGCCAATTTTTACCTTAGTCGCGTGATCGCTCTGATCACCCCTAGATCCGCCCCTGATTTTGTGGACCCGAGACCGGCGTTGTTACCCGAGGCGAAGCCGAGGCCAACAGCGGCAGTCGATCTCGGGCCCACAAAAGACACTGCTTCTCCAGGTCTCAGTAAATAAGTGTTTTGTTACATAGTATATAAGTTATAAGTGTCAAAGTATAAATCTGATTTACCGGTCATTGAAGTGACCTTAATTTGAAACCAAAACTGGATAAATGGGACGCCGTAAGTGTTTAATTTGATGAAAAGTTTAAAAATGAACTTTGGAACTTCGTGGTTGACACGCATGCGTATTGCACCCATTCTATTATTGACCGGTCAATAAATATTTCATTGTGGACCGGTTGCCTCCTCGCCAAAGCATGCAGTGAACATGACGTTTTGTGGACCGCACGTGATACGGTTTTGACCAATCGGCAAACAGAAAAATTTAACTTTGACACTAACATTATAACAATGTAATATATTGGCTTGCTTATTAATTGAGCCTCTATCCATTCTGCCTTTTGTATATTTGTACAGACTGATGTTAGGTAATAATTATTTGTCTATGTAACCGGACTCGAAATAAACGAAAATTTCAAATTATAGTGACCTGTACCAGCCAATATAACTCTAAATTTATTTGGTGAACATTGATTTGCTTCCCGCGGCAAGTTGCAAACTACCTACCCCATTCTCACATTTTGCGATTTACAACATCGTGTAAAAATTTACTCTTTAAGATGATTCTATATTTCAATGTTAGGAAGAAAGTTTGGAAGGAAATTAATATGCAAGTAGAATATGCTTTATCGCAGTCACAGCTTGAGTAATGGACAGATGTATAACTTCTGTAAAAATGTTGTCCCATTGTCGCCATCTTCTTAGCAAGTGTTGCTTGCGTGATTGTTCGTCATTTATTAATACGTCATTGCTTTTAAAAAATGCTTTCAACATCTTTACTACAACTTGAATTGATTTCGACAATTTTAAACATTCAAAAAATGATCCTCTTGATTGTTCAATTCATAAATTTTTATCCAAAAAGCCGCAATAAAAAGCAACAGTTCGTGTTTATCAGGACGCCATTTTGCTAGCAATTGTCATGGCGTGAGCATGATGTGTACATCTAGGGAAATTTGAGGACACGAAGTCCTATTACGTTACACATCTGGTATATACATAATCTGTGTCCAGGTGGCCATATGGTACATTTGTGTCTAGTTTCGCTCATATAATTCTGATTTTTGTTTTCAGCTGTTGTACCATACGATAAAGAACGATCAAGGAATACGTCCGGTATCATAGTTGGTGTGTCAGTTTCGTTTCTATTTCTCGTCATACTTGTCATTGCTTTGTTTGTGTGGCGACGTCGACCTACTCATTCCTACATACGCCAGACGACTAGCAACGACCATGGGGATGGTCCAACTGAAACCAAACTATAGATTTGTTTGCATTTGAATGTAACCATCTAGTGGAATAAAAGTATCTTAATTAATTTATTTCCTTCTGAACCATATATTGCACGATTGTGAACCAAAAGATATTTTACTCTTCCTAACGCAATGAATTTTACTCGTAAATGGTAGAATGATCTGACAGGAAAGGATGAACTCCTTCATGTAACTGTAGTTAAATATAGATTGACGGATACCTGCTTTTCAGAATTTAGTGTTTATTCTGTTTAACGTGCCAGGAAATGCTACTTGTAAAGGGGAGAACTCTCCTACGGGAATGGCGTAGGCAGGAACTCTTTGATGCCACTGGGTGCTTTAGTATATTTTTATAACAGTTAAAAAAACTGTAATTTTTAGTTAATAAACAGTTTTAGCAAAGATAAAATTTCATGCAAAATTGTGAGATAGCCTGACAGGTTAATTAAATATTTTAACTGTAATATACAATGGATTTTCAGTGATCATGAATGTAGTAATTTAGTCGGGACATATTATATTTAAAAACCGCCCTTGCGAAAAACAACACTATTTTAACCCTATTTTATCCCTATTTTACTTTCTATTTTATTCCTGTAGGAAAGCTATTTTATTTTTAACCCTATCATATTGCTATCACATATACAAATCCTATATTAAACCTATTAGAACTCTGTTCTAATTGTATTTTATAGCTATTATAAATAGGTTTTTTTGAAACAAAAAATAGCCTATTTTAAATAGATTTTATTTTTCTGAATCGGTGAAGCACGGATTAAAATAGGTTTAAAATATGATAAAATATATTTAAAATAGAGTGCAAAATAGAAATAAAATAATAAAGTAAAGTGAAACATTGGTAATAAAATCGATTCTAAATATACATAAAATAGGTTAAAAATAGTCGAAAATACATATAAAATAGTGGATCAATTGCAGCATATTAACTAAAAATAGTAATAAAATTACTGAAAAAATAGCAATAAAATAATAAGTTCTTTGTATGTTTGCATGGTGATAAAATATAAAAGTTTTTGTTTGTGGAAACACCACGTAAATTTATTACTGCAAAGCTTTCGATCCGTAAGCCCGGATCTTCATCAGTGCTAATAATATGACATATTATTAGCACTGATGAAGATCCGGGCTTACGGATCGAAAGCTTTGCAGTAATAAATTTACGTGGTGTTTCCACAAACAAAACCTATTAGTAATAAAATAGTTTAAAAATATGAATAAAATACTGATAAAATAGTAATAAAATAGTAGAAATTAAAATAGTGATAAAATATCAAACAAAATAGTAAAAAATAGTTCAAAATTCTTATAAAATAGTATAAAATTAGTAATAAAATTGTAATAAAATAGTCGAGAGTCATAGCAGTTCTAAAATGATTAATAAAATAGTTATAAAATAGTCAGAAAGTGTAATAAAATGGTTATAAAATAGCAATAAAAGAATAGTAAAATAGTCATAAAATAGCAATAAAATAGTCAGAATGTAGCAATAAAATAGTTATTAAATAACAATAAAATACCCATATAAAAATAGTAGCACTGCAACATAGTTACTTTATAAAGTAAAAAAATTGTAGTATGATAATTAAAACCAGTTAAAAAATAGTAATGAAATAATATCAGATTTGCTGAAAACTAGCAATGCAATACCATGGTTGACAGGTATATTATCGTTTAAAATTGTATAAAATAATACACATAAAACAGTTTCTATTCTTATTAGCTGTCAATGCTAGGTTGTGGCAGTTTAAGCAGTGTCAAATCAATGGCATTGTTTACCACAGTCAGAGTTACCAATGTTTGAGTAACTGTAAGGAATCTATTACACGATTGGGTTTAAAATCAATTGCAGAATGAGAAGTCTAGTAGTCTACTAGCAGTTAGACCCATGCATGCCACCAAGCATCTTGCAGATCAAGCAGTTATTGCCAATACATGTCAGCTTAATTGTCAGTATTAAAAGGTGAAAAATGGGCAAGCAGACTACAGTCAATAAGCAAAATTGTCTAGCTCGAGACCTCATAGTTAAATATTGTGTGCAGAACTTAAAGTAGGGAGTGTTAAGGAAAATTACATCTAAATATGTCAACATGAAACATCATGGGCATGAAACATCATGAGTCTAGCTGGACACTTTCCTTGGCAAATAAAATGGTTCAACATTAGGCAAGATACAGAAACATTTAAATATTAACAAACTGCTGAAAATTGGGCACTTTGAAGTGAAATGGGTAATTTCATTTAAAAAAACATCAGTTCACCCTTGTCGTGACTTGCTGGGGTGTCTCTAAAGATATATAAAATGTAGCCCAAAGGTTGTTACATATATTATTAAGCAGATCCTGCAGATGATATAGATAAATGTATTCATATATTATAAACTTTGAACAAGCAAACAAAGGACTTTGACTGTTTCCAGTTAGGGCACTTCCATAATCAAGTTGCCACACAACAAATTGATCAAATTGACATTTTTACCTATTAACCGACCAACCCAGCATTAAAAACTTCAAGCATGGCATACAAAGGAAATTGAAATTAACCCTCTATACCCTCATTCCACTGATGTCCTAGTACATTGTACTATTACCCTCTGATGTTAGACATGGTAAAATCAAACAGCACTGAAAGAATCCAGCTTTGATGCAACCAACACCTGGTGTTAGACTAAGGGTGAAAAACAATTAAAGTAGGGTATATAAGTGC